AGGGGTTGTCACAGATTCCACATCTGCCAACCCGACAGACACCGATCTACCCGATAAATATGACTTAAACCACGCTAGGGCAACACCACGAATGCCCACTAAATCTTGAAGCCAAGATATTAAAATGTCATGGTCAACCATGTCAAAAGCGGCAGTCAAGTCCAGCAGGACAAGCGACTGTGTGCCATAGAGTTTTCATTGCGAATATATTCAGCTGGTATGAGATTGAATGCAAGTTTTTGTATTTTTGTCTACTTGCATAATAAATTATTGCTAAGCAAAACAGCCTCATGATTAGATTTAAAATAATTAGTTTTACTCATGTCCCTGGTAGGCTAGTGGTTAAGGCACAGCACTCTCGTTGCTGTGGCCCCGGGTTCAAGTCAGGGTTGTGTCAGGAAGGGCATCCAGCATAAAACACGTGCTAAATGTCAACATGCAAGTCGTCAGTGTGACGATTTGCTGTGGCGACCCCTAAACAGGAAAAGCCAAAAGTGACTTTCTTGGATTTACTCATGAAATATTTAAGGTGTATTCACTGTCTGAGCTGTGTGTTGATTTGTTTGTAAGCACAAATCAAAGTATTTTGTATTCTTCTCAGTATTTTCCTCCACATTAGAAAGGGAAAAATGTATGTATAGTGTGGCTCACTTGGAAGCTTAAAGCAGTAGATTGACATTTGGGGAAAGATAATTGTTTTATGGTGGAAAATTAGATGAGCTCAATACCACTCTCCTACAGTATGTGTCTGTTCAATAGGAGCCAGCAGCTGGTTAGCTTCTCTTATCTTATCATATAGACCGGAAAGTGGGGAAACACCTAGCCTAACTTAGCTCTGTGATTGACAGAGTGTATCTTATTTGTTAAGTTGTACAAAAACTAAAGTGAAAACAACAACAAATAACTGCTTTGTGAGGGTCATGTGTTGGCTTAATGTCTTTGGTGAAAGTAGTTGCCAAGCAACAAGTGGAGATTCCATGGAGTGTTCTTCATACATGGACTAACAAGTTAGCCGGATAATTTTGTTATTTCACATTATCCTGGATCTGTTGGTTCTTCAAAAGTCTCATGGACTTGTTGTCATAGCAACATGTCCATAATCTCAAACCTACTCGGGAACAGGTTACAGTAGTTATCAGGCTTATTGAATGTAAACAAGATAGGAATGAAATAATTTATTGAGGTGGATTGGTAGTGCCTCATAATAGGGCAGAAAAAGGGGAGCTGCATTCTTACCACCACACAGTCAATGTGCACTGACCTGAGATTTCTCGCAAGAGGCAAGTTGTTAATGTGGAAAATGTAATAAAGAGCGCCTTTTTTTAGCCATTTGAAAATTGTACCTGGCTGTGAGCAATCACACAACTGCCTGTTTGAGTATGACTATTATTTCAGGTGTGATTATACAGATTATACTAATCCTGAGATGCCTCAGGGTGTGTGTTCTAATGTTAAGCATTTGTGTGACAGATCTTATAATCTGAATATCTGAGTAGTATACCATCTCATTGAATCCGAGGTTCATTCCCTGCAACTAACTACATGTATCGATAAATACACTTTTGCTATGCTGTCTAGAGAATGTAACACTTAATATAATGTGTGTGTTTTGTGACTGACATCCATCTTATCAGCATGAAGGCTGCCACATATGTACTTATCTTTTTCTTTCTTAGCTTTTTTTTTTTTTTTGGAAAACTATTTTAACTACAGTAATTAAACATTTGATTTCTAACATGCCTTGTTTTCAACCCCCCAGACTGGAGGTACAGAAGAGGTTTACAAGGAGCAAAAGAGGCAGCAGGAGTTGGAGAACAACTATAGGTTTGTGTGGGGAGAGTCCCAGGAGGAGTCCCAGTCATCTGGCACATCTGACTCAGATGATGTGGACATATGAGCACATTCAGTGCACCCTTTTTTGAGGGGTGAATTCCCATGAAGACCAGCAGGGAGGAAGACACTGAAGTCCAGCTGCACATTTGAAAAAGAGTCCATAAGATTCAGTTATTGCTGTGAAACCTGGCAGATAATATCAACTCAACATTCAGAAAGTCTGTCCATGTGTTTTGATTAGGCAATATGTGTCTTTAGCAGGCACTGTTTATATGTTGCACAATGAAATGGCAACATGTCAGCTGCTCTTATGCAGCCAAACGAAGTTATGCATTTCCCCTTTTTGATGGGATTCAGTTTTGATAGATGACTAGAATAACCAAGTGATATACACTATGTACATTTTTAAAAATATTTCAGTGAGTTTTACTGAAG